ATTTATCTCATTAATAACACTACATTATATACTTATATTACCACTCTATTTCCTTATATTTCTTTTTCCTTTTCTTTCTTTTTTGCGTATATCCTGCACGAACAACGCGATCCAAACATTATATCCGTATCTCGCAACCAAATTTATATGTATTTAAGTTAGGCTAAGACACACCTCTGTTAAACATTTCAGAAAAATCTATTATAACAATGATGAATATGCAGAGGTCGAATGGGAAATGGAAAATTTTAAATACAAATAATCTCATTTGCATGAAAATAATAAGAAAATAATAAAGGATGAGAATGATAACAATAATAGCAATAATAATGATATTAATGATAATAAAAACATTAATAATGATGATAATAACAATAATAGTGACAGTTATAGTAATAATGATGATAATGAGAATAATAATGATGATAATAGTAATAATAATAATGATTAAAGGTAATGATGATGATGACGATGATGATGATGAGGATGAATATGAAGATGGTGGTGCTGGTGGTGATGGTGCTACTACTGCTGCTGCTGCTGATAATGATGATGATTTTGGGGAAAGTGTCAGCTCCTCCACTTACCTAGAAATCCTTGGTGATCCTACCCCTACTGGATGATGAATTAGGTACTTAAGTTCAAAAATCTCCACCAGTTTCACAGGTTCCTCGTGAAATCCGTCAATGGACACGAAAATCTGCGTCTTATTCACGCCAGGTTGCAGAAGGACTTGGCGTAACAGCCTGTTAAAAACAAGGAACGCGCTTGATAGGCCTACGTAACTAATGGTGGCTACATTTTGTTATGACTATGGCTATAGTATTTAATATATTTGATCTCAGCAGTGTAAGCTTACACCTTAGATAATCTAAAATGTACCTCTCAATGTTCCTGGTCCAAGATGACGCAGTGAAACACGTGACATTAAACGATCCCTAACCTATCAACTTAACATAGCCCGACTAAGCTGAATATCTATAATCTAATGACCTGTCAGTGATAAAGGGTAAATGCACTCACCTATATAAATACTGCGGGCGATTCCCTGTCACCAGCAAGATGCCAATGTCTTCACGCCATGTGTCCTAGCAAAGATCATGTTTTATAGAATGAGATTTCATACAGACCATCATTATGATTGTTAGGTTAACAGTAATATTTGGCGTTAAAATTTATTATACTGGCTTTAACGGTTCCAGATTAAAGGCATTTTAGTTCATTATTTCAGACACCAACCACCACTATAGATTTTATCCCATCCAGGCACCCAAATACCATTTTCGGGTTATCGGCGGTTGTTGGGAAAGGGTTGTCGCAAGAACACAGATCTCCATATCCGTCGTAAGTATCACAAAACTGTTTCCTCTTCTCCCAAGTGCCACCCGTCGGCCAGTCTTCGCAGAAACGCTCTGAGGAGAGAGAAAAAAAACTTTTTGGAACAGAACAAACGTATCTTTTCATCCTTTCTGTTTTTATTACCCACGGAATTACGAATGAAGCATTTGAAGACAGGTACCTGATGCATTGACCGCTGGTATCTGCAGGGACAAGTACAAAGGCGGTGGGATGGTTTCGATTCCATTTTGGTTGGTGACCAATCCTTCTGCTAAGGTCGCTCCGCCCACCTGCCACACCCACGCCCAAAGGTCACGGAATCTGAGGTGCTGCGCTGCGAAAGATCCACATTCCTCAAGGGCGTCCCTCACTGGTGTTTCAAAGTGGCCAGTTACGTCGTACTGAAAAAAGAAGCATGGAGTCAAGTACCTGTGGCTGTTGTGTACTGAATATTTGCTGCAGAATAATAGAAGCAAGAAAGTAAAGGCGAAGTTGCAATAAGAAACTAATGCATATTACATGGAATCAATCTCTCAAACAATGCATGAAAACCGTTTATGAATCTTGAAGGTACACATATTATTTCACATCTATTATTATACAGGTGCTATAAAGCTTCACAGTGAACAAATGCAATAGAAGGAAAATTGAAGCACCCACAAAGGAAGCGACGATGGCAATTCGACCTTTCTTGAGGTTCCGTATATTCTCCAAGAATTCCTTGTCCATGAAGTAATCGGTTGAAAAGTACTTGCTGAAGGTAAGCTGTCGAGTGTGAGGATTGATGACTCGAAGGAACAATCCGGTGTAGGGGAGGATGGGCACCCACTTCCCCACTTTCACTTCCCCTTCCAAATACTCGAACAACAGCTGAGGAAAGGCAACAATACAAAAATCAAAAATACTGCTAGGACAAATGTCATTAATTCAGTTATGCCAATAGAGCAGTTTCGAGTTAATTTAGATACTAAGAAAAACATACGCTGTAATTGTGTCGCAGTTTGCAATTGATTAAGAAAAATTGATTACGATGGCAGTTGACAATAAAGACTTTCCCATTGGAGCTGCAGTCTCCCCCAAATACTGACTGCCTGGTATGACCAAGGTATGTAAAAGAAGGTAGCGTTATCCCAATTGAGATCTGTGATAACACTAAACGAAAAATGATTTTTTGCTGTTTGTTTTGTAAGCTTAAATGTAACAAAAATAACTTCGCAAGCTTAAACAAGTGTCAATTCTTTGTTGCACTTCTAATACTGATACTGACAATGAATAATAAGAAAACAATCCGTAATTGGAAACAATTTGTGTCCTTATTGGCTAGCTATGACACCACCGGGTGACTTAACCTAAGCTACGTCCCATTTTGAGGCGGGAAAGCGGTTTATTGTAATGGGTTGACATTCTACGCGATATTGTTAACAGAGTGCCTTGAGCTTCACTTTCTTCCCGTATACTGATTCAGTTAACATATCATAACTCTGAATTTCATTCACTAAGATTAGTGATTCTACAGATTGCAAGCGCAACAGTCCACTGATTTTTTGCATTTAATTCACTTGGTTTATGTTTGCTGTAGGCCTGATGTTTGTTACTTCATTTGAATGAAATCTGACTACATATATAAGGATCTTTACAAAAAGCGAGATACCAACTAGTTAATTTCCCTCCACTCCACATGCCAACACCTTACATATAGCCTCCTTGGTATGACTCCATTAACCTCACATTAAATTGATATGCAACAAACAAGCATTTTCTAGTAACATTACTTTCAATATATTAAAAACTGTTTTTTTTTTTGTACTTTTTTCACTGAAACTAGGAAAGAAATTTGTTTTGTGCCATTTGGATATACAGGAGGCTCCGCCCAGTCCCAGGGTTTAATCACACAGCTGGCAGGACTGTTTCACGATCTTCAATAATAATATTTGACCTGCTAGACTTAGGTTATAGTTGTCGATCTTTTGCATTTGCATTTTGCATATATCACACTGATTACATTAATACTGGCATATGTGTTCGGAAAGTTTTAAATCATTGTTGGATTTCTTATTTCTTCGAAAATGGTAGCAAGCTAGTTGACAGGTCTTTGTCACATTTGATAATAATGAATAATATTTCTAATTTAATTTACATGTGATTTGGGTAAGGGGATTCGCTTCTTCTCAAGTTTTCTTGTCAACAACTCAGAATTACTTTTTTCACGACTTACTAATTGCAGTAAAATCTGCATATATTGATGGCAGAGTTTGAATTACTGTTCCATTTTCTATTTCTGTATGAACAAGACCTAATCACAGTCAGGCCCCTGCTTTGTTATGCAGCACATACAACAAAACGCTTATGAAATATTTAAGTATAATCATTTTTTTCTGTAATTGTTTCTTTTAAATGATTACTTCTCTTTACGATCATTGTATTCTTGTGTGAAGCTTACACTGACGGAAACCCTCCATTCTATTTTTCCAATGAGAAGCAAGAGATTATAATGATAAATGTGGAACTGTACATGTGGATGAGTAGTGCCTATTCTCAGAAATAACAGCCTTTGTGGCTTTTTATGAACATTACGTACTGTATCGTTATTAAAGTGGATACTGGCTTCCATCACACCCGATTTCAAGGATATATTTGCAGGATTTGGGGTATACGCAGGAATTAAGGACCAGTCCAGGGTCATATTTTCGGGCACCAGATTAGGGTCATCTGGAAAAAAGAGTCAGATTTATGTTGTGTTTAATATGACTAAACTTTGATTATACTTAATCTTACAATTGCAAAAGTTGAATATTTTTACTGTTTATTATTGATGATAAAAATAATGATGGTGTAATGCTCATCGTAGTTATAATCTGATAATAGTCATTTTAACAAGATGATGATAGTAATAATGATAATGCAAACAATAATAACGACAGGACAAACCCTTAAAATCATCAAGAGTGACATTATTGAAGTCGCCAACCCGCACTGACCAAGTCTTCTTGTCCACCGTCAGATACGAGTAGGTTAGCCCCTCGATTTCCTTCCTCAGGTCCAGATGCAAGGGAATCTTCATTCCTTTCACTTCGATCTCGTCAACCTAAAGGAGATATAACAGGTCTGTCAGTAATTGATTTGATTATTTGAGTTGACTGACTGGGTTATCTTGTACATTTTGCTATATTCGTTGCTATCGGCAATTCTTAACAGCCTGACTGCTTATGCATTTCTTCTCTGATTGACAGAAAGTCGGACCATCATAAGTTTTGGAATTCATCCTAAAGCATTAGTACACACGTACCTCCTACAGTCCTCATAAAAATAAAAACATTTTTCCCAATCATCACTCTAATATTGCTCATTCTTCACCTCGCCATGAGAGTTGAGATGAACATTCCCCTCTGACATGTCCTCCGCCGTCAGGTTAAACCTCTTCAGATTTTCTTCGTTCGTCTGGAAAGACTTGTAGATGTTCACATCTCCGGGAGTGCTTATGGTGAGGTTGATCAGCACATCATGCCCGTCAGCACCTACGCTACTCCATGTAACCGTCGCCGCCCACAGCGCCACGAGCGTCGGCGCAATGTGGAGGAAGCTCAAGCGGGCTCTGAGAGAGGAAAGAGGTCTTGGCATACATTTGATTGAAGTTGTACTTTGCGGATCGCCATGAAAGCTGCGTAAAAGAATAGGAAATATATTGCATGTTTGGGA